CCCTCAATGAGGCCGTTCACCGTGTCCAGGTCGCCGTGTACGGGCTGGTCAAAGGCAAGCAGCTGCCGGGCTTTCTCCAGCCACTCAATCAACGCCTGGATGGCGTCCTTGAACTGCCCGGAGAAGAGCAGCGCCTCCTCCAGCTTGCGCTGCTTGTCCACCGACTTCTGGCAGACGGCATTCCACTTGTTCTTCAGCTCGTCAAGCATCTCCTGGAGGATCGGAACATCCTCGCGGGGGCACTTCTCCTTGAGGCCCTTGCCGAAGCGCATCGTCGAGTCGTAGGCGGACTGCTTTGCGCCCAGCTGCCGCTGGAACTCCTTGTGTCGATATAGCGTCTGCTTGATCAGATCGGGGTTGTTGCCCAGCTGTTGGATGCTGTCCAGCGTCCGTTCGGCATCGTCCAGCCAGCCGATCAGGTCGGACCAGGCGTCGTAGAACTCCTTCGCCTCCTTGAAGCCGTGGTCGAGGGCGCGCGCCCGCTCCGCAGCCTTTGTCAGCACCCGCTCCCAGCGATGTTGCACACTGGCCAGAAGGTTCTTAATCAGCGTCACGTCCTGCTTCTGACTGAAGTACTTCAGGTGAGTGCCCTTCTTGTCCAGATTGAGCATCGTCTCGCGGTGGTGGCCAATGTCCTTCTGGAAGTGTTTGTGCTCCTCAATCTGCTTGAGGACGCTGTCCAGCACTCGGCTAACTGGTTGCAGGTTGCTGAGGTACTTCTCTGCGCCCGTCAGCCAATCAACAAAGGCCTGGAGCGCCTCGTGGAACTCCGTCGCCTCCTTGAGGGCAATCTCCAGCTTGATCTTGCGGTCATTGGCTCGGCTGAGAATGTTCTCCCACTTGGTCTTGAGGACCTTGAGGTTGTGCGAAAGATGGACGGCCGCCCCTTCCTTGGCCTTGCCGACGTAGTGCTCGCCGTTCTGCAGCAGGGCCTCCACCTTGTGGCGGGCCATGTCCAGCTCGTTGTACACCTCCATGAAGCGATTCAGCTGCTCTCTGGCGGTCTCCGGCAGCCCACCCACCGGTTTTGAGGTACTGATCAGCCCGTCAATCTCATTCAGCCAGCCGAGCATGTCCTGGATCTCCTGCGCCAGACACTGCGATTCGCGCAGGCACTCCTCCAGCTGCTGATTTCGCCCGTTGGCCTTGTCCAGGAGGGTGGCCCAGCGTTTGTTGAGGTCGTCCAGTCGGCGACGGGTGTTGCGAGCGCTCTCCGAGCCGCCCGCCTCCGCCTCAATCAGCTGCTTGCCGACGGCGTTCAGCGAATCGACTGACGCCTGGTGGGCGTGAATGTCGTTCATCAGCACCTTGTGCTTCGCCAGCTCCACCTCGATGACCTGCGGGTCGCCGTAGACGGGCTCCGCATCATCGAGCGCACGCTCGACCTTGGCGATCCACGCCAGCAGCTCATTGAGCGCCTGCTGGAACTGCCCCAGCTTGAGGAGGGCGTTCTCANGTCGCCGTAGACGGGCTCCGCATCATCGAGCGCCCGCTCGACCTTGGCGATCCACGCCAGCAGCTCATTGAGCGCCTGCTGGAACTGCCCCAGCTTGAGGAGGGCGTTCTCAAGGGCGCTCTGGCGGTCGCCGATCGCCTTCAGCAGGTCCTTCCAGCGGCGGTTGATGTCGGCGACGGCGTCGCGAATGCCCCTCGCCTGACCAGGCGGCACCCGGTCCAGCAGCTCATGGGCCATTCGATTGAGCGCCTCCACCTCGACCATGTGCGGGTCGACAAAGGCTTTTAGCGCCTTCAGCTCGCCCATCTGCCGCTTCACCGCCTCAATGTCCGCTGCTATCGGTCCCAGCCGGGTCAGGCGCTCTTCAGCCTGGTTGAGGAAATCGAGCAGGCCCTTCATCTTCTCGTGGAAATTCATCGCCTTCTCCATCGCATCAATCAGGTTCTTCTCTCGGCGAGCATAGAGAGCCGTCACATTGTCCCAGGCGCTGTCCAGGTCCTCGAGGTTCTTGCGCACTTCCGGTCGGNGGTCCCAGCCGGGTCAGGCGCTCTTCAGCCTGGTTGAGGAAATCGAGCAGTCCCTTCATCTTCTCGTGGAAATTCATCGCCTTCTCCATCGCATCAATCAGATTCTTCTCTCGGCGAGCATAGAGCGCCGTCACATTGTCCCAGGCGCTGTCCAGGTCCTCGAGGTTCTTTCGTACCTCTGGTCGATCCGGCTCGCCGATGATCTTCATCAGACTGGCACCGGCTCGCTTCACCTTCTCCACCTCGGGCTTGGTGCGCTCCATGTCGTGGCGAATCTCCGCCAGCGCCTTCTGCTGCTGCTGAATCTTCGCCGGCTCCACGGCGGGCGGCTCCTGCGCATTGAGCGTCTCCTCCAGCTCCTTGATGGCGCGCATCACATTGGCCAGGTCGTTCCAGAACTTGACGGCCAACTTGAGGGCCTCGTCGAGGGAGGCGCCCCGCTGGCCGGCCAGTCGCTGGCACTCATTCCAGAGGTCATTTAGGCGGTCGAGCTTATTTCGAATGTCTCTGATGGCGGGTTCATCCGATTTGCCCGCCTTGCTGATCACCTCCTTCGCCTGCGCCTTCACCGCATTGAAGGCGCCCTCCCGCTTGGCCAGGTCGTCTCTGATGGCATTGTTGTCGGCAATCTGCTCCTTGATCTTTGGCACGTGCGCGGAGATGGGCTCCGCATTCTTCAGTTGGTCGTGCGTGTTGTTCAGCGCATTGAGCATGCCGTCCAGTTTGTCGCTGAACTGGGCGGTGGCCTGAAGCGCCGTCTCCAGGTTGTTCTGGTGCTCGCGGAGCAAGCCTCGAAGGCGGTTGTACCGCTCATTGTCGCCGTCGATGATCTGCTGAATGGCACGGGCGTCGGCCTTTCGGGGAAGCAGGGCAATCAGCTCGGCTCCGGTCTTGTTCAGCCGCTCCATCAGCGGCTTGTGAGAGGCGAGCGTCTGAATGAGCCGTTTAGTGGCCTCCTGCTGCTTGCGAATCTGCTCGGCGTAGATGGAGGGCGTGGCCA